AGGGTCCCCGTGCTGGTGAGGGCAGGGGCCGGCTCAGGAGGAGGAGGGCCAGGCGGACGCCAGCCTCCCTTTGATGGCTTCAAAGAAAGGAAAAGCTCAGGAGGGGGGGGGTCCCCGTGCTGGTGAGGGCAGGGGCCGGCTCAGGAGGAGGAGGGCCAGGCGGACACCAGCCTCCCTTTGATGGCTTCAAAGAAAGGAAAAGCCAGTGTTCCCAAGTAGATGCTTTGAAGCGGCCGCCCCCACGGCCCTCAGCCCCACACCCGTGAGGGAATCCACCCGTGGAGGAGTGGGCGGGAGCACGGGAGAAGAGGCAGGAGGCGGCCGGGGCGTAGGAACCCTTTCAGCCCTGCCGCGGTGATGGTGCCTGTTTCCAGCAGCCCTGAGCCCACGTGGGACAAGAGTCACGGATACACAAGGCTTGCAGTTGTGCGGGCCTCGGGTGGGTTTCCGGTTGAGGAATGCCAGGGAGTGACTGATGGAGGAAGCCTGTGCCGGGGGCAGGAGCAGCAGAAACCTGCACTGGCCACACAGATCCCGGCGGGGGAGGGAGGGCAACGCCTCAGAAGCAGAGCTGCACGATGTGTCTTTCCGGGCTGCTCAGCCCAGCACCCGAGACCTGCTTGCCTGAGGAGGGGCAGTGGCAGGGCAGCCGCACCCGGTGGGGAGGCCAGCAGCCCTGTGGCAGCCAACTCTGGCAGTGCAAGGGCCCCCGTCCCAAGGCCACAGCCCAGCGCAGCCCCGGGCAGGACGGGACAGCGTCACGCTCAGGGGAGGAGAGGTGGGCAGCAGAGCTCCCCTTCTGTTACTGAAGCAGACGTTTAGAGTGCTCCTTCCCAGTGCCCCACAGAAGGATGATGAGGCGTGCCACCCACACGGTTGGTCTCCCTGGGTGGTCTGAGGCTTTGCTTGTGTACCTAGCTCCTGTGAAGCCAGGGCTCAACGCCAGGCCCCAAAGGGTCATTTGCTCACTGATCCCCAAAGGCTGGGGACTTGAGGTGCCCTGGGCCCCAGCGAGCCTGATCCCAGCCCCCAGCACACTTGCCTGGCCAGTGTTAGTTCTGTAAGAAGGGCTGTGTCTTCCCCCGTTGGTCTCCTCCTCACTGAGGCAGAGTGTGCCCATCACAGTTTCTGCTGAGGCCTGGGCACCCCCAGCCAGCCCCAGTGGATGGCAAACTGCTGTCACTGCTAGAAGTCCAATTTCTTACCCTCTGGGTGTCAGCAGGACTGGAAGCAAAACTAGCACTCAACTGTGTAGACGCCTCTGGAGCCAGGGGTGGGGGCCCGGAATCTCGGTCTGCCGCATCTGGAAGGCATCCTAAGTGCCCCCAGGCCTGGGCAGGCCAGCCCTCCTCCTCCACTCTCGGAGACGGGCATTTGAAGCAGAACTCGGGGGTGGGGGGGTCGCCTCTGTCGTTTGCTTTCACCTGATTGTGGGAGGGGCAGTGGGAGGGCAGCGGCTCAGCCTCCTGTGTCTGTTGGCAGATCCACATGAAGACCATGCCCGCCGCCATGTTCAGGCTCCTCACGGGCCAGGAGACCCCGCTGTACATCTAGGCGCCCCCAGCCTGGCCACGCAGCCTGGACACCGGGCAGGGCCACCCGGGCCCGGAGGAGCTGGGAGCCGGGCCGCAGATTTGACCCCGACGCCACAGCCCAGCCACGGACACTGGCTCCCCAAAGGGCGTGCCCTCACCGCCCACTTGGTTTCTTTTGTTTTCATTTTGCCAAAAAGGGGTGTGTCTTTATCAAAGGAGAGTCACAGAACAAATGTTTGTAAAGCGTTCGAGTATTTTGCCACGTTCTGGACTGTCTTCTCCCTGCACCAGCCAGGGTGTGTCTCGGTAGCCGTGCGTGGTGTGACCAGCCAGGGGTGTCTCGGTAGCCGTGCGTGGTGTAGAATGTGTCTTTCCTCCCTGAAGCTGTGCGGAGTGAACTGGCGCCTCCAAGAGAGGCGGCTCCCAGGGCAGGGCCATCAACCCTGCCTCCCGCCCTCTTGGCCGGGATGTCTGGGGATCCTGTGGGGGGGCCCCGCAGTGGTCCCAAACAGCTGCCTCTGCCACTGACGGCAGGGACACAGGCAGCCCGGCTCCCAGGACATGACTTGTAATGCAAGTTTGGGGACATGTGATGGATTGTAAATAAAGGATGATGGCCACAACACGAAAACTCCCTATTTATTTAGATACTATTACTGTTTGGACTTTTATTTTGGCAGGCTGTTTTTCAGACTTGAGGGTTTTCCAGTGTGACCCATGACCACACCTGCCTCTCCTGTAGTCTCTTCCGGAAGCCCTCCCAGCCGGCTGCATCCCCGGGCAGGGCTCCCACAGAGACAGGGAGGGCGCAGGCATCTGCCCCCGCTTTAAAGTCGATCTACACACACTCCTCCACGCACGTGCTCCTTCGAGGAAACAAAACCCAGGCTAGACAACGCGACCCCGGCCACACCGAAGGCAGCCAGCCGTGAGTGCAGACCCCTCGGCCAGCGTGGCACGGCAGCCCTGAGCAGTAGTGGTGTGTGTGTAGATCAAGTCAGATCTAGTCCAGCTCAGTTCATTAGCGATCCATGTAATCTGATGTCATCTTGTCCCGAAGTCTCTTTTTTTGGCCCAGGCCTTGAAGAATACACTGTGACTTAAGAAGCCTTACCACGCAGTAACTACAGCTTTAGGATGATTGTATTCGAGGAGTGCCGTGTGTTGCATGCAGCTGCCCGTAGGAAGACTTTGCGCATATCACTAATAAACCCGAAGTCGTGATGAAAAGCCGTGTGTGTGACTGCTCTGTTACCTGAGCGGCGGGTGCCACCTGTCCTCTCATTCACAGCTTGGATGCGGCTCTGCAGGTTCGCTATGCGGTGGTGGCCGTGGCTGCTCTGTGCCCCTCCTGGACCCTGAACCTTGGAAGCTGTCACTAAGGAGGTCGGAGGGTGGGTGCACTGGGCACCAGGTGTCAGCTGGGCAATGCCCTGCTGCAACTGGAGGTGCCAGCAATGCTGCCAGATCACGGGGTCAGTGCCAGGTTCTTGACCCACTTGCCCCAGCGGGGAGACACGTCCGCAGAGCACTGACTAATGGAATCAGGGAGCTTTGGGCTTCTTCGGATTTCAGCATGAACCACCCCTGGGAAAGGTGCGCATGCGTGCGCGTGTGTAACAGCCGGACCGCCCGTCCCAGCACCTTCTGCACCTGTGGGTCCTTTGCAGCCTGTCTAGAGTGACAATTCTGGCAGCTGTGCCAGCACTTACCTTTCTTCATGGCCACCGTTCTGGCATCGCCTGGTGTGGGAAAGCCAGGTAGCAAGCGTGGGCTCTGGTCAGAGGCGGGGCCCGGGGTCCAGCTGGGTTAGGCTGCGGGCCTTGGATGGGCAGGAGCCTTCCTCTCTGGCCTGCCCACAGCAGAGTGAGCTCCATGCCGTGGGCACTGACCACCTTCGGGGCCCCGGATTCTTGGGGAACTGCAGAGTAAGAAGACTTACTGTCACCTGGCTGCCCAGAGCATGTGGGCCAGGGGCTTGCTTCAGCATGACCTTGGCCATCAGGGGCATGTAAGAAACAGCCTTTCAAGGCGCACTCCAGCTTCATGCCTCCCTCTTCCCAGAAAGTATACATGGTAGAGGCAAAGCAAGCTGTTCCACAGGAACCTCTGTCCTAGAGAGCTGTGCATACGCTGAAATGTATATGCACTCGCTCTGAATATGCTGAAGAATGAAAAGCAAATACAGTTCTTGGCGTGGCCAACAAACAAGAATGCCGGGGATGGCCACATCCTTGGGGAATGAAAAGAAAGGTCTCCTGAGTCAAAGCTGGAGGGAATGGGATTCCACTCAGGAGGCCAAGCGGCACATCCTGCTGTGCCCAGGACGAGGCCGGGAAGCAGGTCCCAGGGAGGAGAGCCCTGGCTAGCTGAGGACATGCGGGCAGGACTCCCACCGAATCGTACACATCTTTTAAAATCCTGCATTTAAGGAAAACTTTGAGCCACGGCCTGCATTCCTCCCCTCAGCCCTTGGAGGCCACGTCCACGAGGGGCTGCCGTGGCCAGTGTAGGCAGGCCTGTGTGCGTCTAAGCCCTGGCCCTCCCCGCTCTGCCCCGGAGTTGATCTTCTCCGGAAGGCTCCTGGAAGCAGAGCTGAGTGGCATGGGTATCTCAGGCTCCCCGGATGGCTGCTGCAAGGCCCACTCAGGACCCTGCCCCTGGCCAGTGGTGCACACAGGCTCTCAGCCTGCCTCTGTCCCAGTTAGACCTCAGAGACACAGAGACCAGAAATACTTTTTATTAAAACACGGATCATTATTAAAACACCTTGAGGTACATTAAATAAATACAACCGTTCCAGTTGTACAAACAGGTCTCTGGTGGCTTGAAAACAATTTCCTATAAATTCTGCCTTAGCAGCCTCTGAGAGTCAGCACGGGTGGGGAGAAGCATCCGTGTGTAGTGAGCTTTCTGTGGCCTGGTGTGTTATAAGCATTTAATGTGGATCCTCATCTCCTCTAGCCAAGGATGAGACCTGAAGTTCTTGCAAATGATGCTCCCCCTTCTCTGACCTGGCTTACCATAGAGTTGGGGTCCAGGTTCTCCCCGCTCAGCATCCTCGTGGTCCCCAAGCTGGGGTCAATGGTGGTGTCACAGCAGATGCCAACCACCCTTTGGGTCTCAGGGCAGGGCAGGGGATGCCCGGGGCCCAGCTGAGCTGGAGAAGGAGCATGTCACCCCCAAAGCAGCTACAGTTGGCTCATTTCAGAGCCCAGACAGGGAGCATGATGAGAGCGGGGGAAGGACGCACACGGCGGGGGGGAAGCAGCCGGCTTTCTCCTTGGCTGTGAGCCAACGTGCAGCCTGGGGCTCGGGCTCTTGCTGCTGGTACCCAGATGCCATGGAGCCAGGGTCAAGGGCACCACAGCTTCTGGGTCAAGTTGCCAGCACATTCCCTAGTCTACCAGCACCTCTCTCTTCTGGGGACCCTCCCAGAGTCCATGAGTGGCCCTGAGAAGCTGGGCTGAGTGGGGCACCCCACCCTGTCCCTGACTGCCTCATTTTGAGGGGGCAGAAGGTTCCAGCCCAGTGGCATCAAGTTGGGTACAGTTTCTGTATCCACACAACAGCTGCCACCAGCGCAAACCCAGAGCTGGGTGAGGGTGGGGTGCAGGTGGGGGCCCGCAGGGAGGCAGTGCTGGGGCAGGAGCCCCACTGGCCACTGGGGCCGGGCCCTGCTGCAGAGAAGGGAAGGATGCCGCGCAGCAGGCTGGGTGGTCCAGTGGCCTCCACCCCGGCTGCAGAGGGAAATGGCCCAGAGGCCGAGTCCGCTGCGTGGCTGGTGGTCTTGGCCTCGCTGGAATTGCAGCCGTGTCTGAGGACTGCAGCTCTAGCCCACACAAGGGCTCGGCCCAGGGACCATGCTGTGTGAACCCCCAAGCCCTAGTGTGGACCCCCCAAGCAGGTGAAACCCCTGCGGCGCGGCCCCCACACACCTCAGACAGTGGAGATCCAGCGGCCAGGGCGTCAGGCGTGGCTGAAGCTCTGCTCCAGGGCGGCCATTCTGAAAATCCACCAATTAACTTCACCTGTAAAGCGACTTGCCTTGAGGGAGTTCACAAGCCCCCACTTGAGAAAAAGTATAGATTTCCTGTTTTATAGTCTGAATAAAGTGCTCATCTCTAGTACATCTTTCCTGGAAAAGTGCAGGTTGTTGTCTGTTTTCAGCTCTCTAAAGCAATCGAAGCCTTTTCAACCCACCGCAGCTGGGGGAGGCCTACACCTCAGCCCCCAGGGCGGGGGTAAGGGGCTGCAGGAAGGCTCTGGGCACCTCGGCTGGAACCCCACGCCCTTCCCGGCTTCCAGTCACACAGAAGCTCCCCAGCACGCTGGCCACAGTGGTGTTGGAGAATTGAGGGAGCTCAAGGACAAGCCCCACGGAGCCGAGAGAAGAGCATGAGCCCCCTGCCCTGGCACCCAGGAGTGGAAGGCACCCTCTGGCCCCTGTGCCCCCATGCCAGGCTCACGGGCTATCAGCCTCACGGGCTATCAGGCTCACGGGCTCTCTGGGAAGAACTCAGGCTCTAGGCTGCTTTGTTCACTGCAGGGCCCACCCAACGCAGCTCAGAGGCTGTTGCTGCTAGTGGCCCTGAACAGGCATTTCCATCACTGCAGAAAGTTCTCGTGGATGGCGCTGTTCCAGGGCCATCGCTGGGAGCAGCTGCCACTGATGCCACCAGAAAACAAGGGGATAGGGACCAAGAAAGTCCAAGGTCCCTAAGCTGCCCCCAAGCTGGGCATGCCTGCTTCTGCACAAGCAGCATGGCGGGTGTCTCTTCCGTTTCGCGTGGGTTTGTAGGTGGTTTATGATCCTCCTGCGCGGGCGTGTCTGTCTGTCTGCTGCCGCCTGCTCGGGGGAAGGTCAGCTCTGGGTCACAGCGATCTGCTTTATCGGAAGGGGCCACTTCCCAGAGAAACCGGCCTCTCTCCCTCAGAACTGGACCCACTGAGCTCAATCAGGTGAGCTCAGACACAGGGAGACCCCCAGAGGAGCTGGGAATCGGCGCTTATTGTTATGGATCAAACAACCGAATCAGGTCTGCGCCAGGGACAGGACGGGAGCCTGGAGAAAGGGGGCCTGAGAGGAGGTGGGGGAGGCACCCCACGGAGGGAGGCCGAGCTCGAGGCCCAGAAGACGGTGGGTTCCTCCAACCCTCTGCAACACCGGCCTGTCCCCTGGGGTGGCCAGGCTACGGCAGAGGCCCTCACTGTACATTTGTTTGCACAGTAGCCCTGCGGACAGAAAGTTGGGCGCAGGCTGCCATCTGTGCTAACGCTACCTATTTCCTTTCAGAGGAAATAGGCCAGAGCGTGATGAACGTTTAATGATAGAGCCATCGAGCCACATGAGAAAATGTCTCATGACTCGATGTCACCCTCTGTCCCCTGAACACTAAGTTAAATGAGGGATGGGGAACTCCTGCTTTGGATGGCCCTGATTTTGGAGATACTTCGAGTCTTTAGGTGACCTAAGTGTCGCCTGTTGCTGTATTCACGTTTGTGCAACGCTGCTCAGTTCAAGGCGCTGCACGCCAGATAAAACCAGAGTTCACTGCGGACACGAGAGTCATCTTTCCCAGTTACTGGGCTAGGCAGGAAACGCAGTCCACAGGGAGACGACCGCTCGGCTCCCCTCGAGAGAGGGAGTGACAGTTCCCTGCCCACGCCGCCCCCAGATCATCCTGGGTGTCCCCCACATTTGTCCTCAGCCCAGCTGGGCCTGAAGGCCTCTGTCAGGCATGACGGTTTCTGGCAAGACCATCGGTGGCGCCAGGCCCGTTGGTGTCCACGATCAGACTCGTGGCTCCTTCATACCTGGTCCAGAACGCCAGCGCCGAAGACGGCCTCCTCCTCGGGGCGCTCCTCGTTGGCGACGGCCAAGCGCACGGCACCCACCATGTGCTGTGCCTCGGTGGGGAGGGCACAGTGTGAGTGTTCCAAAAACTTAGCCACCAAAACCCTGGAGTCCGCATAGGCCTTGCTGTCCACTGAAGAGCGCGGCCGCTGTTTGGAGGCTGCCGGGAAAGGCTCCGGTGTTGGCCGTCCGTCAATTTTCCAGGTATCTGGGTCCCCCGCTGGTGAAAGCTGGGCCCGACAGGCAGCCGTGGCAGAGCGAGACATGGAAGCTACAAATCAAGGGAAAACATGCAATGTGAAACTCACTGAAAGCAAAGTAAAAGAAAGGCAGCCGTTGAAGAAGTTAACTCAAAAGCAAAGGACAGTCTGCCCTCGGGAGGAGACTCCTGCTGGGGTTTCCGTGTTCCTGGGGCTGGCGCTCTGGGCACACCCGGCCACCCGCATCGCATCTCTCCTCCCCTTCTCAACCCCAAGCTGAGCTAGTGTCAGCCTCCAGGGGCTGCAGCCTTCAGGAACGAAGGCCTGGGGGGGAGGGCCACTGCAGCAGGCAGGAACCTGTCTTCCGCCCTCTGCTAGAATCCCAAGGACACAGCGGCTGGTCCCTCCCAGTCTTCTTGGCTCCACGACCTTTGCCCCCCTGGGTCTGATCTCTTGCTGGGGCTGAACCGTGGCATCTAGAGACAGGGTCTGCCTTAAGACCAGAGTTGGGGTGGCAGAGGGAACATGAGACCCCCCCCATCATGCCAGGTGCAGGCAGCCACCGCCCAGTGCCCTGCTCCACTGCCTGCCAGGCCAGAGGCTGGGGACCTGGCTCCAGCTCCCCACAGGGCTGACAGCCTCTCTGCATGACCCACAGGCTGGACACTGGGCTGAGGGTCCCTGTGAGAAGGCCAGCTCTGGCAATCAGTGGCGAGGGATGCCAACAAGGTCCAGCAAAGGCCCGGCTTGCCCAGCCTGAGCTTCACGCCACACAAAGTTGGCACATTCTGGGTGGTCTGTTCTGGGGTCTTGTTTGGTGGCGACTGGCAAGCCTAGCAATTAAACACGAGAAATGCAGACACTCCCAGGTGGGCCCATCGCCCGGATGAAATCTCATAAAGTGGGCTGAGCAGCCACATGCGTGTTAAATTAGTGCTAGCCCTTGAAATAAGCGCACAGAGAGAGAAAAAGGAAGAGAAAAGGCCCTCAAAGCCAGAGAGTGGGCAGCCCGCGTTCCCGGGGATGGGGTGAGGAGCTGCATTTGGAAACAATGTAGCCAAGGACACACCAAAACCCGCCCCACCTCCCAGCAGCTGCAGTCAAAGCGCTTTAGAACAGAGGCATCTCACCGCTCCCCGGCACAGCCTCAGACAGCCCTGCGTCCAGGTCCTGGCTACACAATGGCTTGTGTGAAGAGGCATCGCCTTAACCAGAAGGAGAACTCAGTGAACACATGAAAGGGAAAAAGGAATTCCTGAGAAAGCGATCATAACTCGCCGTGACTAAGACATGTATTTTATATGGTGAGCAAGCAGGAGAAACCTGCTGGGCTGACGCCCACCCAGCGGTGGATCAGACGGGAACCGCCCTGCAGCTGGCCAGGCCTGCCGTGCATCAAGTGGTGTCCCGGGTCCTACCCCGACACAGTGCAATGGGCCGGTGGCTCAAAGAAAGCCCAGCACCCTTCAAGGGAACACCCACCTGCACTCGAAGGGCTCCAGGCACCCTGGAAGGCACTGCCTGTGGCGTGCAGATCAGCCTAGCCAAGAGGGGACAGCGGTGTCAGGCAGGTGTGTGGGTGCCGAGGTGTGAATTTCACTGAGGGGGACAGGCCAAACAAAGCCATCAGGGGCCACAGACTGGACCCATGAGCCCCTCCAAGTACAGGGTATCCTCCTTCAGACCTCAGGGAGTGAATGTGAGCGTGGTGGAGAGAGGCTCTGGAGCTCTGAATAAACCAGCAGAGGCGGGTGTTTCAGAAGGTTCGACGGGACTGTCTCCCTGTGAGCCGGCAATGGGATGCAGGAGGGAGAATGCAGAGATGACCGCAGCCAGGGAGTCCACACGGGCCAAACCTGGTGTTTCCACCAGGAGGGCACCTCCAGGCAACTGGCTACTGCGGGTCCCGGTTCCTTTCAGGGACTCGGTTCGTCCTGGCACAGCCAGGCTCCAGTAGGGGTCAGCTGGGCAAGACCATCGAGGGGAGACTGAGCCAGGACCCGCCGCGCCCTCTTCGGGGTTCCTGTACTTCCCTACCGCAGTGGCATGGAGGTCAAAGGTCCACCAGTCCTTATTGGCAGAAACTGTGCCTCCTCTCAAAAGACGGCAATGAGGGCTGGGTGTGAATTCTCCAGCCCGGGGGGTGCCCAAGACTCTGGGGGATTAGTGTGAAATGCAAATTCCTGGGCTGCTGGCCGCAGGGACCCGGTGCCAGGTCCTGGACTCCAGGGCACTGCCCATGGACACAGTCGCCTGGGGCGATTTTTGAAAGCCCTGGGCTATGTGGAGAGTGCTGCCAAGGTGCCTGGGAAGTGCTCCTGAAAAAGCACCCGTGTCTGCCTGGGGTGGCTCCAGCCGATGACACCCCCATACCCAGAGCTATCGTCGGGGGTCATCTGTCCTGTGCAAGGCTCTAGGCCCTTCCTGGGCCCTGGAGCACATGTGCAGCACTCACAGCTAATGTCCTGGCCTGCAGCACATGTGCAGCACTCACAGCTAATGTCCTGGCCTGGAGCACATGTGCAGCACTCACAGCTAATGTCCTGGCCTGCAGCACATGTGCAGCACTCACAGCTAATGTCCTGGCCTGGAGCACATGTGCAGCACTCACAGCTAATGTCCTGGCCTGGAGCACATGTGCAGCACTCAGCTAATGTCCTGGCCTGGCCCCCTGGCCCCCTGAATCCTTCCTCCCCTGCCAGAGTGACAGCCCGGTGGGGTGCAGAGGGGCCCTGGCTCAGGGGTCAAGACCACATTCCCAGTGTGGCCCCAGACAGGATTCGCAGGGCCGGGCCTCCACTCTCAGGGATCACTGAGACCTGCAGCGTCCAGGGAAAGCCGTCCACACTCTGGGGACTTGGGGGAGCCTGGCCACCCTACCTGCCATGCCAGATGTGCACGAGGTGGGGTCACTGGTAGAGCGGGATACACGCCCGGGACCTGGCTGCACCTGCGAGCCCATGCCAGGATCCTCTGGAGACACGCAGCCAGGGTGAAGGGCAGATTCGGAGGGTGCTGAGGCGCCCACAGGGCCATCGGGGGATGGGCTGGAACCTGGCGTAGCAGTGCCCTCAGACACCAGGAGGCTCGTGCTGTCGGCTGGTACTGCAAGAGAAGGGATATGGCATTAGGGCAGGTGACTGCAGGGGACGCTGGCATGGGACAAGGCCTGCCCCTCAAACTGCAGACCTGGATGAACTCTGAAACCCTGGGGGTGTGGAAACACTGAGTAGGATGGACAAATGCTGCTCTGTACTGTTGAAAGTTGGGGGCACCGGATGAGCTCCCGGAAAGCATTCCAGGAACGGCATGGGTCGGGGACTTAGACCCTTCACACTACACAAGAGACTACAAGTCAGAAATCAGACGCTTTGGTCTGGGTGAACAGGGCCGGTGCAGGGGTACACAGCAGCTCCGAGGGACATCAAGCCATCCCCGACGGGTCCCGGTGGGCCTGAGATCTGGCCGACCCATGCAGGGGTGCAGCCCCGGGCCTGCAGTGCAGCCAGACAGGGTGGTGCAGGCAGGTGGGGCAAACTCCGCCCACAGGACACTGGCCTTGGCTCTCAGAGTGTGGGTGCCAGGCCAGCAGCAGCAGTAGCCTTGCCCTGGGAGCGAGCCGGGAATGCAGACGCTCAGCTGGACCCCAGACCCACGGAAGCAGAGACCCTGGCACTGGGCCCAGCCACCGGGGCTGGAGTGAGCCCTCCAGGGAATTCTGATGCCCTCCAAACTGTAAGGACTGCTGCTCTGGACCGGGATGCTGGTCAGGGCTGGGCTCCGGCCCGTCACCACTCCACGGGGGCTGGATCGGAGTCTGTTTTAATGCCACCTCCACGGGGTGTGCATGCACGTGACAGCGTGATTAACTGCTCCTGCACTCTCCCCTCCAATCACCAGGTGCCCTCAGAGGCCCCTCCCGGCGCTGGAGTGGAGTTGCCTGCATGGGGGACACTTCAGAGATCACAGAAGCCTGAACTCCTCCAGGCGCGGGGGCTTCGGGTCTGCTCCTGGCATCCCTTTGTTTTTCCCTGCGTCTGAGAGCTTGCCCGTGGGTGACAGGCTTTTCACGCCACCTTCCACTATTCATCCTCACTGCCCGTCTGTTACCCCCAGCTTACCCCCACCCCACAGCTGCAGAAATGGGCTTAGACAGGGAAGGGCTGAGGGTCACACAGCCACCAAGATGGTCCTCTACTCAGGAGAGTCCTGACCCCTGTACCCCGGCAGGAGCCTGGGTGCTGAAGTCTGGGTCAGCGGTAGGGTTCACCGCCCAGGTCACGGGAGGGAGGAAGATGCAGCGCTGCTGAATTCTGGCCGAGGAGCACCCTATTTCCACCTGCCCTGAGATGGGAAACAGGAAAGGGCTCCCTCCGGTAGCACAGGCCCCCCTCAGCCCAAACCCCGGAATGCTACAGGTACGGCCGCCCTGTGACAGTGACTGAGATACACTGTACCCGGGGTTGCCCGGGAACGTCACTGAATGCCTTCTCGAACAGCCTCTGATGGCTTGCAGTGACCAAAGGAAGGACAAGCTTGCTTCCAAATCCCACAACTGCAAAGACGCTGTGCTCTACAACCCCAGGTGGCCTCCCAGACAGGCAGCCCCTTCCTGTTTCTCTTAGATGTCGAGTGAGTGTTCAGCAGAGGACAGAGCGCCCTGGGACGATCATCCTGGCCCTCTGTGGGATCGCAGGAGTTACCTAACGTTATTCTCCAAATCAGCTAGCCCACGTGACCCCTCGCAGGGGCCTCAAGGCGGTGGCTCTCCAGCTGGCCTGGCCTCCGTGCCCTCGCTCCCTCTGCTGTAAAGGGCCCTTCTGCTTTCTCGGAGCCTTAGACCACCTCCCTGGCCCTGGCTCTGCACGTTGACTCCCACCCCCTGTGTTTGGGGATTTGACTGTTACACACGTGTCCTTCAATGCCCTCAAGGACATGACTTCCAGCCTGCGCCCTCCTGCCAGCCGCCCAGCCCAGCCACCTTCTTCAGAGGGAGGTGCCGTGTGGACATTCGCCCGGTAGGTACAACTTTGGCTCTGGAAGGGGGACCCTAGATGGAATCGTGCTCTTCTTCAAATCCATACCCGTCAAGTGAGGAAGTGGGGCAAAGGGGGACAAGCTCTTCCCGGAGAGCGAGGAGCTCTCCCAGGTATGCTGACTGTAGTGGATGGAGGCACGGGAAGAAATGTGGGGAACATACGGGATATTTAATGGGAAAGGCTGCTGCAAACTCCAGCCCCTTAAAGAGTAAGAAATGGAGGGAGGAGGAGGAAGAAGAGGAGAATAGGGCGAGGACACAAAGAGACATCCTTGAAAACAGGAACATCCCAGTTCAGGAGCTGAAAGACGTAAGATTACCTGGAGTGCTGAAGCCAGCACTGGTGTTTGGGTCCCCGGAGCTGGACTCGGCCACCTGTTGATCTACACTTGTAACCTACAGTAAGAAACGGAAAGCGTCAAGGCGGGTGGTCCGTGGGAACGCCGCACAGCAGCCTCCAGTAGTGCAGGCGCTTCAACTGGTCTCCTGGTGGGAAGCGCTAAGAGACGTTCACCCACAGCTCCACTCCTCTCCTCTACATTTAGGAGGTGGGGTGTGAGGGTTCAAGTCGCCCTTGCCAAAGCCAAAGCCTAGTTTTCTTTTTTCTTTTCTTTGAGGCAGAGTCTTGCTCTGTGGCCCAGGCTGGAGTGCAATGGCACGATCTCGGTTCACTGCAACCTCCACCACCCGGGTTCAAGTGATTCTCCTGCTTCAGCCTACTGGGTAGTTGGGATTACAGGTGCCCACCACTGTGCCTGGCTAGTTTTTGTATTTTTAGTAGAGATGGGGTTTTACCATCTTGGCCAGGCTGGTATCAAACTCCTGACCTCAGGTGATCTGCCTGCTTCGGCCTCCCAAAGTGCTAGCACTGCGAGGCGTGAGCCACTGCACCTGGCTGAAAGCCTCTTTTTCTGATCGTTTGCAATCAGAGCGCCCGACAGGGCCACAGGGCCACCTGAGCCTATGAGTTGCACGGTCATTGAGCTTCTGTGGCTTTCAATTTCTTTTTCTTTATTGATATATTTTAGAGACAGGGGCTCACTCCATGGCCCAGGCTGGAGTGCAGTGGTACAATCATAGCTCACTGCAGCCTCGAACTCCTGGACTTAAGCGTTCCTCTGGCCTCAGCCTTCTGAGTAGCTGGGATTATAGGCATGAGCTACCATGCCCTGCTTTTGGATAGACTCTGATTCTGCCTGGAGAGGCCTCGGAATAAGGGGAAGGCTACACCCCCTCTGCTCTCTGCCCCATCTTTGTTCTGCCCATTCTGTGTGGGCCATGATTTCCACCTCGGAGGGCATTAGGGCCTCCTGGATGCGATGTTTGGATGCGATACACACTATACACACGTCACATGGGCACCCCCATGCACCCCATGCTACCTCAGAAAACAATTTGTGAATCCTTGTGTTCTTTCAGAATTGCTTTGGGGATACACTTGCAAATACTGAGCTCCAGAGGAGACTGGGAAGGTGAGGGGGCTCCTGCGGCTTGGTCCGATTCCAGCTCAGGTAATTACATCTCTGCCTCCCTCATCTCCCGCCACTTCAATCAGATAGCTGGTCTCCTTCATCTCTCCTCTTCAACCCGGCTGACACCCGGGGGGGGGTTGGGGCTGCAGCCTTCCCACCCACACAAAGGGTGTGAGCTGCCCCCACGGCGTGGGGCTTGAGAGGGGGTTCCGAGACAAAGAGAAGATGGAGAGCTGCCCAAGTGAGTCCTTTGATTTCACTAAGATGCTTTCGCGTAATGCGGTCCATGCTATTTTTCTTCCTTAGCCCTCTCATTCTGCTGGCAGGGAACCGGTGAGGGGGAGTTCACCCCACTGTCAGCACCCACCTGCCTTTTCACTGAAGTCATTATGTGCCAATAACCAGTTTTGGAAAGCTCTGTCCAGAACCTTCCATGAATCACAAGAAGCGAACAATGCCCTAACGGTTTGTTTCATCCTGTGTCTCTCCTCCCATATCTAACCCTCTCTCGGACTTGCTTTTCTTTTGGATCATAGATGGGTGGTAACTTAGAACTCCGCTGTCTAAAAGAAAATCTTCTGGTAATAAAGAAATGTAAATAAAACAAAAGAAAGAAAATCTACTGTGGGACAAGGTCAGGAGGAAACTGGATTCCCTTCATGTTGTGCAAAAGCGTCACCCACTTCCCTCTGGCTCCTGGTCAAATTTGGTTTCCAGAGGAGACAGCTCCTGGGAGCGTATCTATCACCTCTCGCAAGCAGAGTGTCAAAAGTTTAATTTAAATGTGGCCCTTCCCTGATGTCAGAAGCCACCTTGCCACGCTAAGCCATGGGGAAAATAGCTTACACCATGGGGAAGGTTCCTTTCATACAGCATTTTCGATGAACTATAACAGCACTAGAAAAGGGTGGGGAAGAAATATATTTGTGGCATAGAATTTAAGTTGAAATTTGATTTCAGCGAGGAAGCTCATAAACACAGCTCCTTGTAGAACAGCGGGGAGAGGGCTGTTGACAGGAGATGCTGCGGGAATCACTTCACCCGGATCTTTCTGGTCTGCAGATGTGCTATTCTGAACAGTCATCGTAATTGAAAAATCAATTGGCATTTCCACAAATAATTCAAATGTTACGAAGCGTGGTGGCTGAGATACTTGCATGGAAATTCTGCCCCATCCTGTGGTTTCTGTCTCACTCCTGGGTGAGGCCAACCATTTAGAACCAGATTTATGAAGAGCTGTTCTTTTGTGGCGATTCCAGCAATCATGGAAAATATGAGTTAAAATTTTAGGCTGGTGGCTCAAGGCAAACTTTGAAGACACTTTGCTAACAGATTTTATGTAGATCATAAGTTTTAGGACCTGGTGCTGGTCCCGGACTCTGCTGGTCCCTCTCCCTTCTCATGACTCCTTGTCTCGTGCTCAGGTTTCCTTCCACCCCGCACGCTGCCACCAAATTAAACTCCTAAAGCACCACTGGGTCACACCCAAGACGCCAGACTCCTCAAAGGCACTTCTCCAGTTTGACATCCAAGATCATAAAATATCTGCCCAAATGATTTCAGCCCTGGGGTGCTGAAGCTCCCACATCCAGGCTCCAGGCCATCCTGCCATAGGCCTCAGCTGGTGCTCTGACC